TTATCTCTACTTGCCAAATACAACTGTGTGGAAAAAAATCCAAGTGTGAGTCTGGAGAAGGGGCACCCCGCCCACTGCGTTTACAGACCTGTCTTCATTTACCCAGGTGGCGCTGCCCCGAAATGGAGAACTTTCCTGGGTAATCAAGAGATGTCCCTACTTGTCAAACAACAACAAATGTTTCATTGGAAAGAAACATGTTGGTGCCAATCTAGAAAGAAATCCTTTCCTAAATTGGGCTCGAGGCAAAATACATATTGAATGCCAGAGCAATGAAATGTGAAGACCAACGGGGCAATGTTCAAAGAGTAAAAATGATCTACTTAGAAAAAAAAAAGAATTTTATTTTTCAATCATTAAAAAAGAAAAAGAGAATCATCCCTTTCAAGCTACTGTAAGATCAAAGATGAGAATGCCAAAATTTGTTTTAGAAAACAAGGGCATTTTTTTCCTATGTTTAAATAATGTGCTGAAATGAGCACATAAAGATACCTGTTGTATAGGCTTACCCTGTTTGCACATTGTAGAGTGTAGGTGCGGCCCCAATGGAAGCCCTTTTCCTTTCCAAGAATTCTCTGATCCAATGCCAAGAACTGGCAGTGCCTCGCTGGCCATGACCTTGTACTTGAGCACTGCAATGAAGTCTTACTCTTGGCTACTGAACCTCAAACTATGACAGGTTCAGAGTTTATAGAAACTTGCATTTCTTTAAAAAAAACTGTATCTTCCAGACCATGCTTCATTACAAACTGCTAATTAAAGGGAAAAAAGCATTAAAAAGGCGATACCACTTCCTGAATGGCACCATAAGGCACTGAAGACCCTGCAGCGCTGCCCCATAGCTAGAACTATGGTGCAGTACTCAAGGGGCGATCCAGTCCAACCTTTCGCAGACCGTTAAAAATCTCTACTACGTCATGTTGTTGAGTTGGGGGAAGGGTGTGAAGGAAGGTAGAGGAAGATAGTCTGAGTTGATGTTTTTTTAGAAAATCTGAGAAGGGGACTTTCAAGTTCACTCAACAAACAGAGAGCTTTGAAATGCTTCCAAGTCAACTCCTGCTTGAAATGAGCAGCTAATATTAATTTATAATCAGATATGCCAATATGTCTGATGTGCTGAGGTTTATTAAAAAGTTATAAACTATTTCACTCATTAACTACATTCCTTATAATCCTTTTATCCTCATCCTGTATTCATGGATAGTAAACCCTGTATTCATGGATAATGCCTAGATCAGGGGTCCTCAAACTTTTTAAACAGGGGGCCAGTTCACTGTCCCTCAGACCGTTGGAGGGCCGGACTATAGTTAAAAAAAACAACAACTATGAACAAATTCCTATGCACACTGCACATATCTTATTTTGAAGTAAAAAAACAAAATGGGAACAAATACAATATTTGTATTTGCATGTGGCCCGTGGGCCGTAGTTTGAGGACCCCTGGCCAAATGAACACCAACAAAGATCCAATGGCCACAATTCTATAATGGTGGGAACCAAATTAATCAGGTTGTCGTGCATAGAGAATATGGATGAGGAGGTTCATTTTTGCTGAGCCTCTTTTGTGTTTTAACTTTTAAAACATCATCCTGAATAGGAATTAATATTCCCACTCGAGAGGTGCGAAGACTGCAGCTCTGGGAGGTTAACATACCTACCCAGGACCATCCTGGTAACTGGCAGAGCTGGGATGAAGCTCACGTCAAAATGCCCAAAGCCCATGCCTTCTGTGCCTCACCTTGTTTTTTCTCTAGTTCTCTGTAGACCGTATTCATACACTGTTGATGTTTAGAAATCATACCTCTTAGCAAGTAATCTCAGAAACTGCAGAACATTTCTAATGGCTTATTTGTAATTCTGCTACATGTCATACTCCACCAAAGACTGAAAGTGCCTTGCTAAAATAATAAACTGAAAAGATCACTTACTATCGTGACAAATAGCTGGCTAAAGCATCAACTTATGGACAACATGGCGCTGGAGATCTCAGGCCCCCGAAGACATCAGTGCTCCGATCAGCACCGACCTCTCAGTGCAGAGACCACTCATACAACCAGCAAACACCAGAGGTGCCTGGTTTGCTCTGAACTAGTAACCTGCAGTCCTGTCAATCAATTATTTATTGTTTCTATTTTGCCTACTTCCAAAAAGAATCAGAAGTGTCCTGCTCAGGACAAAGACTGCAACAGAAAATAAATAAATGGTAGGTTTGTGGGATGTGGGGGTGGTGGGGAGATAAGATAATAAATCCATTCTAAAATTTGAATTAACATAGATTTCATCTGCTGGGATCTGACAGGGTCTTGGATGAATTTACTTTGGTAGACATGGAAATAGTATGAAAACCTGAGAGGCTAAAAAGGTTTAAAAGGATAATGTGTAAGAAAGTTCTCTAGCAAACCCTTTTCTCTGAGATACTACAAAGATAAACACCAGGAAAGAAGGTCCCTTCTGTGTTAGTGAGGTCGAATTAATAAGATCTTACTATAATAAACCAATTGTCTATGGAGTCAGCCTCTGTCTTTGTCAACATTATTAAAATGTCAGGCATTGCCACAGTATATGGAGGAAGCCCTAATGCACCGCTTCCCTTTTTAAAAGCAGAAGTACAAGACTTTATCCACTGAGGACTAAGGGGCTCTATGTAACTAACATTCATACTTTGTTCACTTGAATAAGAGTACAAATTTAAAATTTGTTTTAATGGGAATCTTTTAGAATAGATTGTGCTTTGTCTCACACAGATATTAAACATAGTTTAATCTTTTCTGGATGCACCAGGGTCTCGAAGGCAGCAGGCCAAGGTCATTGGGCTTGAAGTCAGACAGACCTGGGTTTGAAATTTTGCCTTTTCTGGTGTTAGAAATTGGGAACACTGTTTGGCTAGCTGGGCATCATTAAATAAGGTATGAGGAAGCCCTTCCTTTGTTTTGTGAACTATAGGAGAAAAAAAGATTCTTTGTGAAGTAGTACTTTGTTTTTTTTTTATGTGAAAAAGTGACCTAGGCCCTGAAAAGACTCGAGGTTTTTAAAAATGTTAAGTGCCCTAGAGCATTTAAGGCTGTGATACCTTGCTTTTTAATGATAGCTAAATATTTCATGTGCTATTAATATTTCATTACATACATTTTCGTTTTTTTACCTCTAAATGTCTACTTTAAATTATTTTTCTGAATTACTAAAAATATTTGTAGTGTATCTTGAAATCAACATTTTGAGAATGCGAAGTTACAATGTCAGCCCGTGGGTGGGGGGATATTTGCATTTACAGAAACAATTTTATTCTCCCTATTAAGAATTTTCCTATTGCTTACAATAAGAATGAAGAATCTGGATTTTTGAAACATTATTTTATAGTGAATGAAAACCAGTTGCTTACTTAAATGAAGGAAAATAAATGTTTCTTGGACTCTTAGATAACGACTTTTTATTTTTTTAGTCTATCTCCCTGAATATCAGTGAGGAACTCAATCTTAGGAGTTTGCTGACGCAGACTAATCGGAAGATTAGGAGCATTGCTGAATGGGAAATGTGTTAAAAGCACATGCCTTTATTCTCCAGGGGACACGGAAGATATTTAGACAAGGCATTCAGGACAGGAAGAAGGTTTCCAGGAAAGGGAGGCCATACTCTTTCCTTTAGTTAAGCTTTTGTAAAATAGCACATTAAAAAAGACTTGGTTTCATGTGCACAGACACTATAAAACAGCTCAATGTCTACATCTTGTATTTGCAGCAGTTCCATTTATATCCAAAAAGCCCAATTTTGCTGTTTCTAATTATTTTGGAATAAACCGTCAAAAATATTTAGGTTTATCAACCTAAAGATTGTTTGTCTGGTCTCGGAGAGATTAGAGAGTAAAATGTTTTGTGACTAGGAGTATGGAATTCATTTTCTTATCAAACATAGAAACGTCATGGCCACAGTGATCCTGACAAGTATATATTAGGCATTATAAGCAACGGGTTTAAGGACCGCCCGGTCATTTGCAGAAAGACAATCCTTTTATTGTGCGAGCAAAAATGCCTTTGGTTTCCTGCCATTAAACCTAAGTGCCAGTGGAGGTTTGCGCAGAGTTGACAAAGCTTTATACAATATGCTCTTTAGCAGAATAATACTTATACCTGGAAGAGTAATTTTTATTTCCCAAGGAGATGAAAAATTATGTTTCTTCACTATAGGTGAGAAACATACATTATTATCTCCCCCTGGTCAGATATAGACTTTTCTATCTACTTTATACATTCTGCATATTTCTTACCTACTGAGTCACTTCCACCAACTGTGGGGCAGGGGTGGGGGAAGCCCAGAAGACCCCTACTAATTTCTTCTAAATTGAATGGTAGTTTCACGGAGAACTTTTCCTTTAATTTATATGATCAGATTGTGTTAAGTAGAACCAGACTACGGGGCTAAACATTTCCACATGCTATAGAGGCCCAGGACTTTTCCTGAAAGGAGACACCATTCTGACTTCAGATATTACCTGCTGCTTCCAGAAATGGCTGCAATCCACCCTGATTTTACCCTCTCCCAGGCTCCAAGGGTCACATGTAAGCACACGGAGGGGATGCTGCCCCCTGGCACTTCCTGTTGCCTGGCAGGACTCTTCCCTCTGCCACACTCCTGGGCTCCAGTGGCTACCAGACTTTTCCCCACTCACTGCCACTTGCCTTCATCCTCTGCATATGGGATGAAGAATTAGACAGATGTAGGCAAGAAAGGCAGAGTTAAATTCTGGCCATCTGGTTCCTGGGTTGGAACCACTCTGAGCCTTGGTGGAATCTACAGATGCTTCACAACTCACCCCTTGGCCATAGGACATTTTGGTGCCTCTAACCTTCCCCTCTTCACTTTATGCTCCAGAAGTTTGTGAAACCTTAATGAGTCATGAAGAATCCTAATTTCAAATCCAAAGAATCCAAAGTGATGATAACAACAAATAATAATTGATATCTGAATAAAGGTTAGTATTTGACAATGGATAAAGATTGGTATACCTTCCCTTCCTCAGGGCTTTGTTGACATAAATTGTGAACGTCGTCTTCTCTTACTAATTTTCCAGGCCAGGAAGTCAGTCCTTTGATTTGGCCCCAGACCAAGTCGCCAACATTGAACGTCCTTGGCCTATAATGTATCAACTCGTTTGAAGAGGGGGAGTCTGGATTCCGTAGGTCATCTTCACTACTAATGCTTTTAGCGTCTGAAGGGCTAGGCACACACCCATTAATGCTTTTGGCATTAAAGTCTCCATTGTAATGGATGTAGTCTTTGACCAGAGAACTTTCCAAACTATTTGAGGAGCTTGGAGACTGCTCCCCTAGGACCAGGTCTTGCTTTGTGGTGCTCAGCAGCTCTCCAAAGCCACGACTCTGTCGAGGTCTGTTCCCATTGATGTGTGCACATCTTTCCACAGTGTTCTCTAGTCTCTCCTTGAAACTCATCATAGTTCTTTTGTAGTTATTATACCTGAAATTTTCCTCCAGAATTTTATCCCCTTGACAGTTTCTTGGTGGTAACAGTATTGGGTGCTGTTCCCCAGGCAGAAATGGCAGTGTAGAGACATTGTTGGGCCTTTCGTGACAAGGACTACTGTGAATATGGCCTGGATGATCTAAAAATTCCTCACACTTCCACCTGTTTCGCTCCCCTCCAGGGCTCTGCTCCCCATCCCACTGTTTTTTAGATGTGTGGCAACTCGCTGACTTGAAATATTCAAACCCATCTCCCTCGTGTGAGTTTTTCCCATGGTCCGGATTCCTGGGCAGCCGGGGCCCTCTTGCATTCCTCAGCCTACCATCGTGATCGACATTGCCCATGTTCCGTCCATGAATGACTGCACTGACAGCACTGGGGAGACTTAACGGGTCACCAATCGAGGCAGTGAAGGCACTCATGGCACTCAGAGCTGGAATGGGGCTGATCTGAGTTGTACTGTTGACTGCTGTGGTGATGACAACCTGCATTCCTTTGCTGGCAGCATCGACAACTGCCTTGTAAATGGCATCTACGGAAGCATCACCTTGGCCACCCACAATGAGGCCGTCCTTCACCTGCTGGCCAAGAGATGGGTCAATCCTCGGTTGCAACTCACAAGCTGTATCTTGGAAAGGTGGAAGTGTAGTGTTCGGATTCTCAGGAAGTGCAGTGAGCCCCGGCTGAGTGCTTGTTCTTTTGTTTAGGAGAGCTGCATCTTCCTGCATTCTCACCTTAAAGAAATAGACAGGAAGCAGTGAGAGAGAGAAAAAAATAAATTTAAAGACCTCAAAGAGAAAGACATAATTTTCAGATCTACCAGAAGACAAACAAACATAATGGGGAAGAAAATGACTCAAAAATGAAATAAAAAGTTACTCTGCATAGAAAAGCTTATGTCTTGATTATATTTGGGTACTGTTTCTTTGGTTAAAATCATTCAACAGATTTATTTTTAATCATTATTACTAAACATCCTTTAGAAAAAAATAAAGTTGAGGCTGTTGGACAAAATATGTTTTCAGGTGATGACTTCAAGTATTTAGTATCATTACAGGTTTTGCAACTTGGGATTCAAAGAGAGAAGCAAGCCAGTCACCAACACTGCTCAAATTACAAAGGGAACCAGATTTTGAAAATGATTTCTACTGAACTAAGTGAAATACGATATAAGATAAAACAAAAAAACACATACTCCTTTCTTAACAACAAGGTATTTTTAATATAACACTAAAATTTTAAAGTCTAATTTTCAACCTTACCAGGCATCAGCTGAGGGACACCAGTGACAATGGCTCCCTAAAGAAGTATTTCTGAGTTGAGAAGAGGTGAAGGGAGGGAATGCCACCAGAGAAGACTATTAATGCTCAGGACAGGAAGGATGGGTGCAGTTTGAAAAAAGTCTCTGAGGTTACTCTAACTTCACCAACCCCATCTAAGAATTGCTGCTCCAGATCTTTGATACTTGGGATGGCACCCCCACACCCCTGATCATTCCTTTCCGGTCTTCCTATCCTTCCCCACTAAACCAGAATCTGGGAGCACCAGCACATCACTGAGTCTCTTGCCACTCTCCCCTGGTTTACACCTCCCAGATAAAATCCCAGTCCTGGTCAATTCAACTGCCAGCCTCATCTATATCTACAGTGAGGGTGCTGAGTCTGTGATGCTTCACCACTGTTCAGATCTTCACCCACTTCCACAAGCTGGCTGCTGTACCGTCTCTTGCATTATTCTTAGTAGATGGCCTTACTTAACACAGAAAATGGAGTTCATAGGTTAAGAATTCTCATAATTCTTATACTCTGCTCCTCCCTGGCTTCTGGCGGCACATACTTCTGTGCAACTTTGTGTCCCAAATCCTGTCCTGCTTCCCAGGGTCAGAGGGGCACCTTCTGCTCTCTGAGAGCAAGTTCTCCATTTGTGCTTTGGATCCTACCCCCTCCTCAAGGATCTTGCCTTACCTATTATCCCTTCTCCTCTTTATGTTCCATCTCTTCCACATTAAAAAATGAAATTTATTGGTTAATACAATTATTTATATTTCACACGTACAATTCTAAAATACATCGTCTGTATATTGTATTGTGTGTTCACCACTCCAAGTCATTTATCCCCCCTTTATCCTCTTCTACCCTCCTTCCCCTGCCACCCTTTCCCTCTGGTAACTACCATCTCTTCTTTTTGGTTTCTTTCCTTTAGCATACAACTATGTGCATGGCTTCCATATTAAAAAGTTTGCAGTCAACCTATGCCTGCCTTGGGGCACTACCCTGTTTTTCGTATGCTCTTTATCGTTCAGTTTTTGAAAGTTTTTCATCTACACTCTTCAATTCCTAACCGTTTTCATCCTTTTATCCATTGCAATCTGGCTCATGCTCCCACTACTCCACCCAAACTGCATTCCATCAAGTCATTGGTGATGCTCTCACTGCTAAATCTAATGGCTTCTCTGCAAGCTTCATCTGCTTGTTTTCTCAGTGACATGGTTGAACACTTCCTCTTCCTTTCTAAATTATTTGATTACATAAGATGTATATGAGTATTTTCACATTGTCCAAAAAGGCAAAAGTTTTCTTTATCATTACGCCCCACCTAAATCTGTACTTTGCCATCCTACTGCAATCCAATTTCCTTTCTTAGAAGTACTAGTAATCAGTGCTGGAGAGCATTCTTGCAGACACCTATTTTTAATACATTCAAGTGTGTAGGTGGATATCTAATCTTTCTTCCTTCTTTCCTTCCTTCTTTCCTTCTTTCTACCTTTCATATAAATGGTATTGCATTTTACTTTTCTTCTGCAATACTACAGTATTGGAGTCTTGCAATCTTGTGGACCTTAACATATCAGATTATATAAGTCTAGCTAATTTTTAAAAATATATTTTTATTGATTTCAAAGATGGAGGGAGAGGGAGAAAGAGATAGAAACATCAATAATGAGAGAGAATCATTGATTAGCTGCCTCCTGCATGCTCCACACTGGGGACTGAGCCTGCAACCTGGGCATGTGCCCTGACTAGGAATCGAACTGTGACTTCCTGGTTCATAGATCACTGCTCAACCACTGAGCCATACCAGCCAGGCAAGTCTAGCTAATTTTTTAAACTACTAGATAGATGGATCTACCATAATATATTTAACCATGTCCCTACTGATGGATGTTTAAGTAGTTGTAATGAACATTCTGAATTGTGCCCTTTTGTTCACATCAAAGACTTCTTTAACATAGACACATAGAAGTTAAATTTCTGGGTCAAAGGTCATGTGTATTTAAAAACCTGATAAACTAAAATTACTCTCCAAAAGGACTGTATCAGCATATAATCAGACCAACAATATATCTGATATATAACAATATATCACTATCCCACACCACTGTCAGCAAGTTATCATCAATTTGATGGACATATTAGTGTTGTAATTTATATAACTGATTACTTTTCATGTTTAATAATTTATCTTTTATTTTCTGTGAATTGACTGTTCATATCTATTGCTCATTTTTCTAATCAATTATCTTTATTTTTCTAATATGTAGGATCTCTTTTTATATTACAGATATCAGATATTTGCTATTATTTTCTTCCAGGTTATTACTTGTCTTTCACTTTGTTTAGAATACACTTAATCATACAGATTTTAAAGGTTTATGTATTCAATTTTCTTACTTCTTTTTACTACTTTGTTTTGTGTCTTCTGAAAGAGCCTTTTCTACCCCCAAATTATAAAAACATCCTATATTTTCGTCTTATACTTATTTGGTGTTACTCTTTCCATCTAGCTCCTAAATCCATCAGGAATTTATCCAATTTATCTAACTAAGAAGAAGACCAAGTGGCTGAAGCCAGGAAGAGAGCAGTGAGAGTGGGGCTGAGAGTGAGGCAGGCAGGGCAGGCATGTTAAGGATATGGATTTTAATCATGAGAGCAATGGGATTAAACCCTCAAAAGGGTGCAAGAGGGTACCAAGATCAGTTTTTACTAACAGCTCTAAAAGGACCACTGGGATGCTTCAGACAAAATAAAATAACCTTCACATAAAAGACTAGACTGTTTAACAATATTCATTATAGAGAAATGACAGTTAGTAGAGGTGGAAGGGCATATACTAGTAACTTCCTTCTTTTGTCTCTTTGCCCAAATTGTTTAAAAAAACTTAGACATTGGTTTCTACTACAGTAACCCAGGGAAGGAGAGTACCTGAAAGTTCTGAAACAGACAAGCCATGGGGTTATTGTTAGCTGGGCAGGGAATTGTGGGCTGTCCTTGGAATGCCTGGAGATTCGGGTACCCCTGAAGAATCTGCTGCTGCTGCTGCTGATTTGGAGGAAACATCTGATTGTTGTTTAACAGCGACTGTAGATGAGTCAGTTGATGATTATTCAAAGTATTGTTTATTGAGGACATGTCACCTATGGTTTGGAAAACATAAAATGTAAGTCAATGTGATTCTTTGGCAATCCTATGCCTACCCTTGTACCCAACGATTCCTGAAACAAAAACTAAAAACTAGACTTACATGATAAAATTTTTTTTTCTCTTTTTCTCCTCAAAGTCTCACTAACTGGTAAGGAAAAGAGTATTTTACTATTTAATTTTATCATTCATAATTATTTTTTTGGTTTTATGTCATGAGAGATGAGTCTTTCTCTATCCATTAGCCAGTCCTTACATTGAGCATCAGTGTTAAAAATTCCTTGAAACTATTTTTATTAAAGCACCTACAATTAAAGGTAGAAATTAGTCCTAACCTGTTTTAGCAATCATAAGAATTTGATCAGATGATTAAAATAAGTGGATCTGGTCAGGCTTTGTTTACAAAGTTTAGTTCTCAAGTCACAATCATCACCAATTACCACCAAATAAAACTGGATTTTGTCTGGAAATATGTATTTTGTTTTTAAGTGAAAGGTTGGTCACCTAAAATTAAAATTGTAAAGAAAGTGAACAATACAAAAAGAAATCATTATCATAATCATTAAAAAATAAATATTATATAATGATGTAGGATTAGCTAATAACTAAATTTATATTCAAAATTCAAAATAGACTTGTTTTGAAATTATACTGAAGTTATTTTAAAGATGATGTCAAAGGAATTGTCCTGTAACTTGAAATATATAACACTAGTATGCTTTTTTAGCTTACTTAACTGCATCGATTTCAATGACAAATAGAACTAATTAAACTGTATTATAAAGGTGTCCATAGATCTGGAAACATATATATATATTTGCATACATTGGACATGCCCTTGACAATATCAAGTATATTTGCTGATGCTTCCAGACTTTATGGAAACCATCTCTGTACTTTATATTATAGTCACCTGCATCAATCAGTTGAATATACTTGACATTATTTTCTAACATTTTTGTGACATTATAATTTACATGAAGAATTTTGTTTTTAAGCCACAAAAATTTTAAAGAACAATACTGTCGGAGGAAATCTAACAATAGCTATTGGGGCTGTTTCCTTGAACTTGGACACATTTTAACTTTGAATGTTTTTATGCCTTGTTTCTTATTTTGCTCGATAAGTATTTAATTCTGTTTATTGAGGGATCACCTGGAAAAACACTTCCTGAGACTGTTTCCATCCACGGTGCAGCTGCTCATACTAACCCTGTGATGCCACACCAACTAAAATTCAAATAAAAGTTATTTTTAAGATGTACCTGTGCTTTATTATTTGAAAAATAAGACTCTACTTGGCTTAAGAGGATGATGGATAGGTTAGCGTTAGGTGGCATCAGAATTAGAAGATAAGCGAAGGCAGATTAAAATGGTATTTAGTATTGCTAGGAAAGGGGAGAAGAAAAAAGTCATTTTCATGTTTGTATAACTATGGTGGTGTGTGGGTGTTATTATATTTAGTTCCTTAAGCAAGCTGTGACACAACAAAAACATTTTTAAAAATAGTGTGACAAAATGGAGTCTTTAAAAATGAGAAATTAGAATTAGAAAAACGTTTCTTTTGTAAAAATTTGTGAAAAAATGTAACTTACCAAGCAGACCTGTCCCCAGTAGAGGGTTAAGTAGCTGTGGCACCACAGAGTTACTGTTGAGTTTAGCTGGACCAGGTGTGTTCCCAGCACTATTAGATACATTCAGCAATGTTTCTGCCATTGACACCACTGCTGTCCCACCAAGTGTTGAGACAGTCAGTGCTGCCACTGCTGATGATGTAGTGGTTGTGGTAGTGGTTGCCTGGGAGGAAGTTGCTATGGAAACCTCTGGATGATTAGCGGTGTTGGCCGATGCCGAGTTCAGGACACCTCCCAACAGCTGGGGATTCAAGGCCATTAATCCTGAGGCCCCAGTGACAGCTGGGAGGAACAGGGGGTTAAAAGGAGTGTCACTGCCTGCAAAGCTGGGTAAAGGGTTCCCCAGGGGGCTGGTTAAAAGGGTCTCAGCTCGGCTGTTCTCTGACTGATTGCTTGGCAAATGGTCTGGTGGGGCTGTCATCTGTGTTAAGGAGGGTAAAGGGGTATTTTGCTGTTGAAAAAGATCTGAGATGGTCAGATTGAAAGATGGCAGGGGAAGCATGGCAGCTGCGTGGGCTTGGTTCTGAAGCAGGGCCGCTAAGAGCTGAAAGTGGACAGGCTGCAATCCCTGCCCATCCATGTCACCGGAGAGAAAAGCTAAAGCAGCGTTTACATTCGGGTTGAGAAAACCTAAAGGGTGGAGGTTGATCTCAGACTTGCCTTCTCCCGCTGAAGGCTGGAGGATATTTAATAGATTCTGGTTTAGGAGATGCTGTTGATTCACTGGCAAAGAGATAGGTAGAGAACTGAGGAGGCTGGGGTTCAAGGGGTGTGGAAGATGGTTGTTGGAAGTGCTGTTGGATGGAAAATGAAGTGCGTGCTCCTGGCCAACAAAAGGAAAGTCACTCCCGATGGGCAGCTGACTCTGCAGTGGGTTTCCAGCCGCGGTGGTGACGATGACGCCGTCCTGGAGAACAGATGTTGTCTTGGTGATGGCAGGATGGCTGGTGCCAGCGATGGCAATGGAGGATGAGGGTCCTGAACCGCCTAAAATGAAGACAACACAAAACAAAAACGCCGCGCATTAATTGTGGGTGTGAAGGAAGACAACCCCATGAAAACACATTGAGATCCATTTCAACTATTTCATTACCTGTCCCCTTTACTGATTTTAATCAGAGAAATTGTGATCAGAGATGATATCCCATCTGAATGACATACGTTTCCTAACCTACTTTGAAAATAAATTTATTGGAGAAGTTTAGGTTACTAAGAAATAGCTTGTTTTTCACAGCTGGACAGAGTGAATATGGAGGAAGTTCTGTAGTAGTTCATTCATTTGGGTTAGATAAAAGCACCAAGCCTTCATTTTTAAAAAACATTTTTCCTTTAAAAAAAGTGTTTGTTCTTCTATTTGTAATACCAGTACTTGCTTTTAGTAAAAAAACAAAGTAGAATATGCATGAGCATATAAAACAGAAAATAAAAAGTACTTACAAATATTTTAATATTTTAATGTATAGTTTTCTGGACTTTACCCACCTGTACTAGTATTTGTATATATTTATACACACACACACACACACACACACACATACACATATATACACGGGTTACATATTTTAACAAAAATGGAATCATGCTGTCTTATAACTTTTTCATTTATCAATATATCTTTCCATGTTAACTCTTTTAACTACAGAATTATTTTACTAGTATCATGTATGGATATACCATAATTTAATCAACATACAGTTGTGATATTTTGATTGTTTACAATCCTTTACATGGTAAGCAGCACTAAAAACATTAACTCATCTTTGTCAATATACTAAATTACTTTCTAAAGATAAAGTCTTGAAAGTGGAATTCCAGGAACAAAAGAGTTTACATAAATTTAAAGCTTTGAATACTTCCTGTCAAACTGCCCTCCAGCAAAGTTGATCAATATACATTCAGTTTCCATTTCTATAAACAGTGCACAGTAGTGCTCATTCTCACCAACATTGTGTTTTGTTATTTTTAAATCTTTGCTACTCTGATAGCATAAAGGTACTTTGCACTCATTATTCCTTAAGTCAGACAAGTCTTCATCCAAACAGCATTTTTAATCTTGAAAGTCTTATGCAAGAGATGAACATTCAGGAAATTTAATATTTAAAAATATAAAATTTGGTTGCTTAATTTTTTCAATTGAAAAGAAAAGAAATAAAAAGCAATGCCTTGGGCCCTATTCCAGACCAGGTGAAAACCCATCTCTGGGGTACACCCAGCCTGAGCAGTAGCATTTTTCAAATCACCCCTGGAGATCCCGATGCACACAAGGTGGGGTGAGAAGGGTGAGGATCACATCTGTTGAGTAATCATTTTTTCATAAAAGGTTTTCCCCTAAAGAGATGCATTGTTTTATGTGATACATGCATTTGGCAAATGTTTATTAACACAAGCATATGCATTCAATTTCCTATTAAAACATAAACACGTATATAGTATATTAAACAATACCACTGTCACTGGAAACCTAAAATAATTCAAAAATTTTACTGCTGTACTATGCCATCATAAGACATTTTACATTTGACCAAGTAACCATGGAGGCCTCGTTCAAACACATAGAAATGTTTCCGTAGTTATAATAATAGTACAAATAGGATTTTGTAGTCTTCCTGTTTTCTCCTAACAGAATAACACAAGAATTTTTCCTTTATGATATATAGACTTTGTATTAATATTTTTAAACCATATAGCATATGGATTGACCATATTATGTAAAACATTCTGATGCATTTTGGCATTTTGATTTTTTTCATTATTATGTATAACACAGGGATGCACATCTTATTGCATATGATACTTTCCTATCTTTGAATTTGTCTTTAGGAAAAATTCCATCATTGGCATGATTGTTATGAGAATCAAAAATAGGTACATGAAAGGCTTGTAATATGTAAAAATCTATACAAATAAAAGGAGTTATCGTCATCATCACTACTGGCATTCATGTATGTAGTTAGTAGTGGTGATGTGGCAATAGCAGTTAGTATATCCAACACATCAGCATATCTAACACTCCTTACAGAATGTCTCTATAGCACGACTTTATAATTTTTCCCAGCTGTCATGTCTGCTTTTTTTTTAGAGCTCTGTGTTTCATTTAAAGAATAAGATTTTAAAATGTCCTCTGTTTAAAAATACATAAATATTTATAAAATATTATCATAAAATAATGAGTATGTTCACAAAGAGTGGGGTCAGAGCATATCAAATGCTGAGATAGGCATATGGCATACAATTATTTAAATATTAATTCAGATTTGTGATAAAACAATCAACATCTTAAACATTTCATTGCCTCTTAAGTCTTGCTGCTATTTCTATAAATAGGTACTGTGCTTTATTTGCATCTGGAAACCATCTTTTTAAACAAGTGAATAAAAACTCTTATTAATTGGTAATCACTACCCGAGGCCTTTCTCCCTATTTGCTAAATAATAACGACTTATTTAAATGTACAGATCACCATTCAGAGCACATTTTCAAAATATTCCAGCATGTAGATGACAAGGCTTTGTAGAAGAAGGATTTCCATAGAGGTTATTCTTTTTAATCTTTGTTTTCCAAGAGAAACATTTATATTTAAGATTCAAGAAAGTAGCCCTTGGGGGACATTATAAGTCTCCATCTAAATATTATTGAAAAGTGACAATAAAGAAATGTAGTTACTTTGAGTGTATTTTCACATTACAAACAAGATGATGGTGAAGAGAACAACCTTTTCAAGAGTAATATGTGGATCAAAGACCATTTTTTTAAACATTTTTCTCCAATTTTCAACCAATCAGTGCAACAAACAGGTATCATACCTTTTCTGAACAAAAGGATAGAAATGATTATACAGAAACGAAAACCAAACATAAACACCACAAAACACCCTGCCCTTTCCTGCAGGAACTCGGTTCAGCAGTCTCGAGCACACAAACCTCCCTGTCTCTCTTTTTCTTCTTTCAAAGACACATTATTGAGAGCTTATTACGAACCAGGAACTAATGTTCTTTTCATATAGCCAGTGTACCTGTAATAGCTAAGAGCTATAATAGGCATATAACAGGAAGGCAATTGTAAAACTGAAGGTGTCAGGGAAAACTAAGCAAGTGGTAATATTTGATCTGGGATTTGAGAGTGGAAAAGGAGAGAAAGGGCTTCTAAGTAAAAGGAAAGTAATTAAAAAAACAAGACAAGGAGGTAATAAAATGCATGGAGAGTAATGGATTCTTATATATCTTCGAGCAAATAAGTATGACTGAAAATATTATAAGCTGCTTTCCCAGACACACTGGCCCTGCCACCCATAGTTAAACGTGCTGCCTTCGACAAGAGGTAATGACATTTGAAATAATCTTTCTAAACCATTAAAGGCAAGGACCACTTCTTATTTTCTTCTGCATTCCAAGACCTAACACAGTCTCACACATGGTTGGCGTTCAGAAAATGTTTCTTGGTTGAATTAATCTGTTAAGAAGTTCAGAAGACTTGCACTAATTTTCTAGAAATCAGATCATTTGCATTCGATGGTGTGTGCCTGTGGCATGTGTGTATGTGGAGAAAGGGAGAGCATACCACCCATTGGTGGAGAAAGTAGTAACCTGACTCTCCCGATGCCAGGAGACGTTGGAGAGGCGATGGCTGGAAGATGCCAAGTTACTTCAGAAGGCTCCCAGGTGTCTAGGGAGTCAAAATCTCCTTAGAGAGGAAGAGTCCTCACAAAGTCCTCAGTTCTTAAGGCCACTCGTTAATGCTTGGGGTCATTCGGAGGACCCTGGATTTTTATAGCTGGAGATAAGTTGGAGGGTGCTTATTTCTGAACCACTTAATCTTGAACAGGCACTCTCTGGTGAACCTACATCACAGTTCTGCATAAAAACCTTGTCTGTTGAAGCATTTGGGAAAACAATGATTTTCTTCTTTCCTTTTTCCCGTTCCTTGTCTTTTTCTTTTCTTTTCTCTTCCTGCCTTCTTTCCTGCCTGCCTGGCTGTCCACCTTTACTTAGTTTGCAGCCAAGATGTTTCATGCTTAATCTAATGAAATGAACAGTTAGTTTTTGAAAAAGCAAACTATTCATTAACCATTTAGCAGTTAAATAATCAAAAGGCAGCTGGGAGCCTGGAAGAAATGTCGGAGAAGTCCTTTAATTGGAAAAAGTGATTATTTCATACCAGCCGGCAGTACCATGAACTGGCATAGTTTTTCTCTTTGTCTTTGTTGCTTCTGAGGAAGAGAGAAGAGTTATAAAGCTACCCAAATAAACCTTCCTGGTGCGAGATCATGTGCCTTGATCCCCAATCAAAGGGTGAGAGTCTAGCACAATGAGGAAAGGACTTGCCCAGTTGGGTTGATTCCCAAATATAAATAGTACTCTTTGCACACACATATAGTTTATCTCTCTCTGTGTGTACACAGAAATAGCATCAGCAAAATTTTTCAAAGAAAATTTTAAGGCTATTTTCCTACTATTACTAATTTTCATTCTTGAGTTTTATTTGCCTCATTAGAAATGCTTTTCAAAACATAGGTACTGTCTACCTCTTTAGATTTATCTTCTGTGTCACCAATATTCTTTAAGAAAAGTCATTGCCCTGGCCGGTTTGGCTCAGTGGATAGAGCATCGGCCTGCGGACTGAAGGGTCCCAGGTTCGATTCCGGTCAAGGGCATGTACCTTGGTTGCGGGCACATCCCCAGTGGGGGGTGTGCAGGAGGCAGCTGATTGATGTTTCTCTCTCATCGATGTTTCTAACTCTCTATCCCTCTCCCTTCCTCTCTGTACAAAATCAATAAAATATATTTAAAAAAAAAAGAAAAGTCATTGTTCACATTATGCTAAATTTTTTAAAGGCTGGATCTTAACACATCGTGGACCAGTAGTTTTATTGCTAGCTTTACCCAGTGGCCAGATAAGTTTCTATTGAACGAGTACAAAAAATGTTTTACATAAATGTTAAAGGCATGCTTTCAAATTAAATACCCATTGCATTTTGAAGTTATTTATTA